CGGCCTCCCGGTGGGGGGGCGAGCCGGGTTAGCGGCGGTTGGGGTTACGGCCGTTGGGGGGGACGGGGCCTCCCGTGCCCTGGGCGGGCGAGGCGGCTCTTGCCCAACGGCCGCGCTTCTTTAAATAAAAAGAAGAAAGAAAGAAAGATTTCACCTGATGATTCTGTCATTTTTTATTTATTTTTCGTTTCTAACCACGGCTTGCTCTGTGCTGGTGGTGTCATAGCGCAGGCGCCCGCGCGGGGCCTTAGCCCTTCGCCGTAGCTCCCTCGTGTCTGCCCGTCGGCTGCGCGGAATTGATTGGTCGGGGAATATATTTTCCTCGACTGCTGTGGATATGTCAGTAACTTCATTATTATTATTATTATTTTCATTGGGTGGGTATTTTGGATGGCAAACCTTGGGGTTTGAGCTACTCACAGTCCAATGTGTCAGATTTTCTCTCCCCCGGGGGTTCAGTCAGATGTCGATCAGTCAACTGAAATTCTTTGAGTCCTAGTCCAGTTGCTTATTTTCTAGAGGAATTGCTTCAGTTTTACAAGTTTCGCGTAAAAACTTGGAAATGTTCCCCTCAAAATATGGCTTCAGTGTGAATTTAGTACTTCATCAGTATTGCACACAGTGAGGCTATAGCCCAGGCAAAGTTTAATTAGCTTTATGAAGCATGAAAACTGGAGTTGCTATTTTTGCAGGAATAAACACTTAAAAATGCATAGTTTGTGCCTGTGCTCGTGTCAAGTGGCCATAACATACTATTTACTTCCCACTCCCAACACTGTTTCTCATTCTTATTGAATATGGCATTTTGAACATTTCACTAACTTTATTAATCTTAAGCTATGAGCGATATAGTTTTCCTTACTTTTTCTGTGCACTGTGCTAGGGATGTGATTTTTTTTTTTTTTTTTTAAACCTTCAAAATTGCACATATGTTCACAGATAACAAAATGATGAGCTATGTTATCAGAGAATCTAGTCCTGGCATTTAAAAAGAGCCAGATACCAATTCCAGGTGGATGTTCCTGGCATTTGAGCACAAACACTTTGGAAAATTGACATCTTAAAGGTATAGAAAATATAGGCAAAAGTAGGGCTCTGACATAGAAAATAAACAAAGAAAGAGAACTTGTTCCTGAAAAAATGTGCCCTGTGATTTTTTTAATTTATTTTTTTTTTTAATCTGTGGACAGATATCGTCAAATATTGGAAAAAGCCATGCAGCTGTCTGGTGTAGAACAACTTGAAGCTTTGAAAGCTTTTGTAGAAGCAAGTAAGTGCATCTGGTATAATCGGTTGCACACTGAGTGAAGTCCAGAGGTCTGTGGGGTTGCATATTTGTTAGCTCTACGTGAGGCTATGTAAATACATGATATTTTGGTCCTATTGGAACTCAAACACAACTAGAAGATGAACCATCATCGCCACATTCAGAAGTTAAGGGAGAATGGACTTGTAAGCTTTGTAAATTATGATAACTTTCCAACCTGTCAGTGTGACAGTGTCGGAAGGTGAAAACATAAAAGTAGTCTCTTAATGCTAAAATTGATACTGGATGCCAAGCGGTATTTAAACTAACAGCCCCCTTCTTCCCCTATCGCAAGTTAGTCTGAAAAACTGTCAAAAAGAAATGGTTAGAGGTTTTTTGTGTTGTATTGGATGTTTGGATTATTGAATACCTCTATAAATTACACCTGTTGTAATTTTTTGAAGTTGAGAATAAACTTAGTGAAATTTAGCCTAAAAGTTTACTTTGTCCAAGATGTTTCAGTAACTGAGAACAGTGATTCAGAATGAAACATCTCTCTAAACTATAAATCAAAGTGAGAAATTCATTATGGTCTGTCAGGGGTTAGAACTCTGGTGACCTCTAGTGTAAACAAACTGTTTCTGAGAGAAAAAAAAAATCACCTCTTAAAAACAAAGAAAAAAAAACTTTCACTTGGATACAGATTTAAAATATTCAAATTTAATATAGAAGCAAATGATCACTTACAGTGAAGGCACTGACAAGCATTGCATCCATCTTGTGTTTTTCTTCCACGCGTCTCTGAACCAGTGGTGAACGAGAATGTCAGTCTAGTCATCTCACGTCAGCTACTGACAGATTTCTGTACCCATCTTCCAAGTCTTCCTGACAGCACAGCCAAAGAAATTTACCACTTCACCTTGGAAAAGATACAGCCTAGAGTTATTTCATTTGAAGAGCAGGTGAGAGATCGATGACGATGGGTTTTTCGTTGGTGGGCTTGGTTTTGTTTCTTTTTTCCCTTATCTGCTGACTATTTGAAGTCTTTAAAAAAGCTGCTCAAAACAGATATTCCTACTTAGAGTACAATTTTGCATTCCTGTACATGCAAAACCTGAGCTAAATGCAGAAAGTATTTAGGACCGTGCAAAGAATACAGACTTCATCTCTTCATCAGACATCCTGGGCATGTAATTCCTCCGCTACCAGAAAATGGCTTCTTACAATGAAACAATACTTGAGCTACTGGAGGTACTGTCAAGAGACAGACTGGTACTCATTGTGCTGCATTTTACCCAACTAACAGAACAGGCAGGTGATGTAAAGAGAGAAGCATCTTGACAAATAGCTTTTGTTTCAAAATAAGTATCTCTGTGTGTGTATTTTAGCCATAATCATTTTACCGGGAAAAAAATGTTTTCTTGAAATCCCAATTCTAGTTAACTACGGAATGTGCTGCAGTTCTTTTTCAATTCAGTTCTTGGGTTTGTTGTATGAGTATTCATGATCATCTGAGAGTTCTTACAGAACACGTTTGTATAAAAAGCCTTTAGGATCTAGTATTTGAGAAGAAAAGCAAGGCAGTTTCTGCAATGACTTGTATTTGCTTCTCTTTATCTTTTGTCTTTTTCAGCAGCTCTTACTCTAAGTCTTAACTGAACATGCTTGCCTATATGTTATAATGATTATGCATAAATTAAATCCAAGACATCATATGATTTTTTTTAACCACACTTCTGCTTATAAACCCCAGATTGTAAGCACTGATATTTTTCCTGCTGATACTCTATAAAGTAGAAGTTTCTGCATTTAATCATAGTTCACCTCATTCATATCTCACAGGCATGATATGAGGTATAACTGCAAGAAATGGCTTGTGGATCTTGGTACTCCAGTTCTTGAAAGCCCCATTTCATCTTTTAAAAGCTTTATAAAAGGTTATCACTCCCTGAAGATACACTCCTTTTATCTTGTCAGAAGCTTAAATGGAAATGCTTCAAATCAGCACTCATATTTAAAAAGCTTAGTATTAAAGCTTGATCCAGGAATCAGGATCCTGGTGTGGAAGCAACTCCTCGTGTGGGAAGAGTTGCGTGTGTGCAGGTTTCTGCATCTGTGGAGCTGGGGTATGGGTTGAGGGGATTCGTGAACAAGAACAAATACTGTGAAAGTTAATACAGAACCATTCAACTTTTATAGCGTTTGCTATATTTTATTATTGTTTAGGTTGCGTCAATAAGGCAACATCTTGCATCAATCTATGAGAAAGAAGAAGACTGGAGAAATGCAGCACAAGTATTGGTGGGGATCCCTTTGGAAACAGGGCAGAAGTAAGTACTGTGCTGGACGCAGTTCTGCGTTGTTAAATATACTTGCTCCCTTTGTACTTAACTAGACCAGCGAGTGAGAATTTTGGGGTTGCATTTTCCCAGGGTTTCAGTAGTTCAAGCCAGAACTACTGCCAGATGACAGAAGTATAGCTTGCTGACTGTACGTTACAGTAAACAGTTTAGTGGGTAAAAATACTGCACCAGAAGTTTTGCACTATTTATTAGTCTTGTTGATTAACAGCCTTTTTGGTAGTATTTTACAAAAATGCTTCTTAGGTTATTGAAAGGTTCTTGAAAGGTGGCAGTTCTTCCATGCGTTTGCTTTTACAGTTCAAAATGAAGGCAGAGTTTGAAATTGGATATTAACAAATACAGTTGAGGTTTTTTGTGGGGTTTTGTTTGTTTGTGGGTTTGTGTTTTGGGTTTTTTTTAAGTCTAGAACCCTTGCTGTTACTTTTCCCTGGCTGTCCTTTCTATCTATCCTCTTTGTCTGTATGCATGTGGAAGGAATTGCTATAGGTTTTGCCTATTTAGCATCTATTTGTTCCACTACAAGTTTGCTTCTTAACTCAAGTGGCTTACCACTTATGGCAAACTTCCAATCCACTAAGAACGGATTATTAGAGTGTACATTTATGTTTTGGTAGACAGCATTCTTTCTACTGGTGTTTGTAGGAGCCAGTTCTATATTGATGTTCATCTCAAATTTCCTTACCCTGAACAGAGAGCACTAATTTTGGTGTTAGGGAAGAAGACAGCAGGATAAAGCAAATGTAGCCAGGTGCTTTAAGAAGCATAATAGATGTTTAGAACAGCTAAGAGCAAGGGTAGTTGTGGAGCAACTCTGAGCACTTGCTTTTCTGCTTCTCTACAGGCAATACAATGTAGATTATAAACTGGAGACCTACCTGAAAATTGCCAGGCTGTATCTGGAGGACGATGACCCAGTTCAAGCAGAAGCTTATATTAATCGAGCTTCCCTGCTTCAGAATGAATCAACTAATGAACAGCTGCAAATCCATTATAAGGTTGTCTAACTTGCTTTATTGCTTTCTCTTTCTAAAGGGAGATGATTCCACATTGAGATGGTTTTATGCAATGCCACTGAAACTTTCATAATGAGAAAAGAGCCAAACAGAAAAGCTAAATGGTTTTGGGAGAGCCACATCTTAGCAATAATTAAGCAGCTCATTCCTTGTGATTTGGAGATAACTCTGTAAACGTCCTTAAATGGCAGCTTTACTGACTGAAAATAAAAGTTAGGCTTCAAAAGATCTGAAATATTGTTGAAAATGTTGCCTCCACCTTTGTCTGTAAATCTAAGAGGGGAAAAAAAATCATGTCCAATATTAGGGACAACGGAAGCTCCTCCCCTCCCCCCCCCGCCCCAGTAATTAAATAGTAAGTCCCATCCATAAAAGTAGCTTTTAGTCTCAAGTAGTAAAGTAACTGCTGACCTTTCTGCTTATTTGTGGGTTTACTGTGTACATAGTTCATACACTAATTTCTCAAACCACTTCAGTAACTGTTACGAGCAGTGATAACTATAGTGTGACAGTACCAATCAAGTGCGGTGGTGTTTAAAATTCTACAACACAAAGCAGATGTGCCATGAGCTGTAACTCGGGGTGTGGTGATTTTGGTTTGTTGGTTTTCCCTTTTCTTTTTTTCTCCCTTCATGCTATGTTTTAGAGCTTGCACTCAGTTGGAAGTGTAAATATTTTCTGTAAGCATTAGAAAAGCACAAAGGAAGGGAGAGAAGAAATATCAGATGCTGTTACAGCACTGAAAGGGAAAAGCAAATGCTTGAAACATACAAATTGCTACCTAAGTGCTAGCTGTCAATGTCAGTAGTGAAGGCGAAGCTTATGTAAGTGCAATATCAGCTGTACAGTATTGCATTTACTTAGTTTCTGGCATTTAGATATTTGCAATGTTTAACATGTGAAGAATGCTGGGAAATGGCCTTTCAATTGCTTTCCGTGATACTTTAGTAAGGGCTTTACAAGTCAAGATAATCATTCAAAGACAGATTTCCCTAGGATGCAGTAGAGCAATATTTATGGGAGCTGACATGATAATGTGGCAATTCATACACACCTATAGTATGCAGCCACCCCGTTAGTTTTCTTTTTCTTTCTTTCTAGGTTTGCTATGCTCGAGTTCTTGATTACAGAAGAAAGTTCATTGAGGCTGCCCAAAGATACAACGAGCTCTCCTATAAGAGCATAGTCCATGAAACTGAGCGACTGGAGGCATTGAAGCATGCTTTGCATTGTACTATTTTGGCATCAGCAGGTAAAATACATGTTACATTTTTGTATAAAAGACCCAACGTAGGTATTTCATATCCCCCAAAGCAAGTCAGCTTGTGCATTACTTGTGGGGAGGAATCTTGTCACGAAGATTTGGTGAGGAATCCAAAATTGTGAACATGGTGTCAAAATTACCTGGCATACTGTTAACTCAGAGTTGGATTACTTCTGTGTCTTTGCCAGGGATAAGGTGGCATCTTGGCTAAAGATACAAAAGATAGTGGCAGACAGTGTTTTGGAACCGAACACAACCGAGTTCCTTCTTTGGTAGAGCTTTGTTGGGTAATTGCATGTCTTGAGAAAAAGAAGATGATAACTTTCTGTTATTTACCTCTAAATACTCAATGCTTTGGTGATCATTTATGGGGATTCTTCTTGACTCTCCTAGGACAACAGCGTTCTCGCATGCTCGCTACACTCTTCAAGGATGAGAGATGCCAGCAGCTTGCAGCCTATGGGATCTTGGAGAAAATGTATCTCGACAGAATTATCCGTGGAAATCAACTGCAAGAGTTTGCAGCTATGCTAATGCCTCACCAGAAAGCAACTACAGCCGATGGTAGGTATTTCTCTAAAGCCTCATAATGCTAGGCGTTCATCCACAGGAGTTAGATTTGCCCAATGCAGTCAAGAAGTGTGATGGAAAAGAATTTAGTGTTGCTTATATGATTATTTTAGAATTATTTCCCAGCATGTTAACCCTCATGGTTAGTAAAGCTTCTTAGCCATAGTTCATCTTTCTGATTGGCTATTAAGGTTTTGAAATACTCTTCTAGAAGATAACTTGTAAAAATCTTGTTTCTCTCTCCATGTACGGTCCTCTTCATTGACAACCTCCCAGTATTTCTAACCTTGTCTCATACTTTGAGTCTCTGTCCTTTTGAGCTTCTCCAGTTCTAAAGCACTGTTATAAATAGGATGCCTAGAAACACGTGACATGCATGTAAGGCCATAGATGGTCTGTGCGGATGGTAAATTTATTTGAACTGCTTCCTGACTTGACAGGAAGATGACAGATAGTGAGGGGATGACTTGGACCTCACCCTGTCTCCAAATTGTTTTCTGATCCATCTCACTGACATCTTATTAGCTCTGTTCTTCCTGGAATCTCTGAACAGTGAGAAATAATGTGAAGTAATGACTTCACTGGAATCCTAAACACACTGGTCTCAATTTTCTAAATTAGAATAATATTGAAGTGGAAAAATACATAAGCATGAAATACTTCTTAATCAGGAAGACCTTCCTAGTGAGCAATACTTGTTGGTTAAGGACAAATAAACAACTGTGTAATTGCAGAGGTGAAAATGGGGTAAAGATATTTACTGCTAATAAGCTGCAGTCATTTCCTTGGGTCAATTTGTTGTTTATTTATAATCTGTACTGTTTGTCTGTGTAAGTTAAAGAAGGCAGGTTAGTTGGTATTTAATAATGTGCTCATCTTCAACTAGAGCTTAAGGGGCAAATGAGTTAAATTGTTAAATCAAGAAGAAAGAAATTAGATGAGGGTTTATCACAGTACAAGCACAGTAAGAGAGAGATTAATTGTATCCCTAATAGCTGTAATGAATAACCAAAAAAGGAATGGTCTTTCCATCTGGCAAACTAGGAACTGATCACAGGAGGTCAAACTCCCTCAATTCAGATGTTGAGTCTTGTAGCAAAACCAAGGGCTCCACTTGATTATTCTAGAAATTAACTACAAGGGTTTAAGCTATCTGTCTTAAAATCAACCACATGCCATCCATTTCTTTTTGTTCACTTTCTTCTGCGTAGCATAACACTGATGCAAGGCAGATGCATCTGGACCTTCTGCACACGTAACCCTGGGGAAAGAAAGCGTTTTCCATCTGCTGTACAATATAAACCAAGTATTTCAAACCTATAGTAATGGATTTTTTTCTCATCAAACCCCTAAGGTTCCAGTATCCTGGACAGAGCTGTTATTGAACACAATTTACTATCTGCAAGCAAGCTTTACAACAACATTACTTTTGAAGAGCTTGGAGCATTACTAGAGATCCCTGCAGCTAAGGTATCAGTTTTCTACATCTTTGTAAAAACAAGGAGCATCAGAGACATGAGAAAATAACTGTGGTAAATATCAGGAAAATTAGTTCAATATTAGGAAATAATTAAATATTCCATATTATGGGGAAGGTTAAATATCTAGCACATCTAATGAGAAGGAAAGGTACACGATGTGGACTGAAAAATAGTGGGGTTAGATGCCACTGATTGTATGTCTCATCATTTCATAATTAGTGTTGTCTGTAGGTTCCCTCCCACCTTCAGTGTGTGGAGATGTTGAAAAACCCATAACCACTATTAGGTCTTAATAATTTTTAACTTCTTTCAGAATGGAAGAAGTTTCTAACATCTTTCTCTCTTCATTATTTCAGGCAGAAAAGATAGCTTCTCAGATGATAACTGAGGGTCGCATGAATGGATTCATTGATCAGATTGACGGAATTGTTCATTTCGAGAGTAAGTTCGACCACAGTATTTTTTTTTTTTTAGCACCATTCAGAGTGAGCTTTTTGAGTTGCTGCATTACAGGACAAGGAAATTAAGTTTCTTAGTATCTTCTCTCTGGAGTGGGCTTGCTGCGTCTTGCTGTGGCCAGGAGGTGGCAGAGTTTGCCTTAATGGAGGACCACACTTGACCCACCCTCCCTACTGTGTGCATTCTCTTACCCACAAGAAAGTGTATTTATTCCATCAGTCTCCTTGTAGGAACAGGTTCACCAGGAAGTTCTCTGTTCAGTTCTGTTTTGCAATGCAGGAGTTAGGCTTGTAACAGACAGCCAAAATCATTGTAGCATTTGAATACAGAAATGAGCATGATATAGCTGCAAGGAAGGCTTCCTCTGTGAGGTGGGCAGCGGCAGAAAAAAAGGTTGCAGTTGAAAAGGCAAGGGAATTGCGAAGACTTACTTTGTTTTGTATGTTTTGTTTTGTTTGTTTTTTGTTTGTTTGTTTGTTTTAGCTCGTGAAGCTTTGCCAACCTGGGACAAGCAGATTCAGTCACTGTGTTTCCAGGTTAACAACCTGCTGGAGAAGATAAGTCAGACAGCCCCAGAATGGACAGCGCAGGCAATGGAGGCCCAGATGGCTCAGTGACTGTGCAGCCATTGTCTGAATGGAGGCAATCAACTGCCTGCTGTGCTGGAAGAAGGGAGCTGAGTAGGACTGTGAAGCAAATGAATAACCCACCTTCTGCTTTCACTCTGGCTTAGGACACAATTAGGTGATACCATGTTTGATGTGACAGTCCCCCAGTTCTCTGAGCATAGAGTGATTCTGTTGCTGCTTCTGTGCTGCACTCTGCTGTCCTGAAAGCTGTGGTTTCCACATAGAAAAGGCTGTAATGTCTGCAGCAAGCTTTGGTTTTGGTTTATTTAATTTTATTTTTTTTTCCACTGTATTGCTATAGCTTTGTAGCCCATTACTTCCTATGATGCTTGTCCTGCTGTGAAAATATATAAGTGCCATGTTTCTTTTAGTTGTAATTATTCTAATAAAGGCTGGAATGAGCCACTTGGTTTAAGTGTTGCAGGGACCTGGGGGTTTTTTTGTTTGTTTTGTTTTTTTTTTTTTTTTCTTCCTTCAGTGGTAACTTGAAATAAGTTGAATTTTTGGAATTGTCAGTTTCAGCCCCTGAAAACGTTAAATGAAAAACAGCTTTTTTCCTTCTTCTCTGTTTATAAAAGCAAATCCGAAATCTTAACTGAAGGAAATACTGACCCTTCTGCATTGGTGCAGCAGGGTACAGAGTTGTCTGTGCTGAGAGATGAGGTGTTCCAGTGTTCCAGGAGAGCTTGTTACAATGATACGGTAAGCGATGAGAACATAGCGCGTGCCAAGTAAGTTAAGCCAAGCATGTTCTTTGTTTGATTTTCCAGGTCAGCATGAATCGGTAATTTTGCAAAAGTATCCATAGTGGTTTTTTGGAACTGGAGGTGTAATAAGAGACTCTGACAGGTAGGGATTCTGCACGACAAAAGATTAAACACCTGAAACTGGAGTGGCTGGAGAATGCTGTGCAGACTACTTATATAATGAGATACAACAACGAGGTAAAGATGTCATGTGATAAGCAGGACTAACTTGAAATGCCTATGCACCACACCAAAGTATCAAAGTGGCCCTTCTGATGTTCATCAGTCTGGAGTTGTGCACTCTTTACCTATCCTTGTGATGTGCCAGATACATGAGTCTTATCGTGTGATTTGCTGGAGAGGTTTTCACAGAGAGCTCTTCTGGTAATGGAGAGTTTCATCAATAGCTTTTTCCTGTCCAGAGGTTATTTTTTAGTTTGAGGTGATCTCATTCAGGTTGTAATTCCAGCTTTGATGTGAATTACCTTAGCTCCTTTTTAATTTCAGTCAAGAAATAATACTAGTAATGAGTTTTCAGTCTATGTTTATCCTGGTCTTTTTGTCTCAAAATCTGGAGGATGTTGACATCTTCGAGTCAAAGGTTTTGGCTTTTAAACCACAACTCTAATGCCTTGATTTTTGTTTTGCCTTTTTTCTTTTTTTAAACATGTTTATGCATTTAGACTTGTAGCGCTGTTAGATTTTTAGAAAAGCCAGGAGCCTAGTGAAGCGCAGTTCATCCTGAAATAGGGATGGACTTTTGTCAATGTAGCAGGTGATATTTCTGAGTCCCAAAGCAACTGGCCAAGGAAGTTATGATGTCTCCCAGTTGGTAGCATCCTTTAGTTTCTCTGGGAGCGCGAGTGGTGACAGAGCAGTTGTGGGAGCAGGAAGGAGCTGCCAACCTCTTGGCAAGTTTACTGTAAAAGAGCAGATGTGGAAGATTTTCCAGATCCTTATTACAGATAGAGGTTGGGTGGCTGTAGTCCTTCAGTGTGAGCTGACATAGTGCAGTATAAGGGTCTCTGTCTGCTATGGTTGGTGTCTGGCACTCTGGATGCACAACTCCAATACCCACAAGGGTTATCTGTCTTACTAAATAGCCTCCTGCATTACCCTCTAGTACAGCAGATATAAATAATTTATTTGCTACAGGAGAGATGCTGGTATTTCAGTAAATGGCAGTAAAAGCCAAGCTGACCACAGGCGAGTCCCAAGTGCACTGTACGCATCTTTGCTGTACTGCTTTTTCCAAGTCAACAATGTCAGAACTCAGAGCTGGCTTTGGCTAGTCCTTGAATAGCTTCTTTTATTTCCAGACAACCTTTTTTCCTCTCAGCTCTCCCAATTACTTTAAAGGCAACTATAGTGTCAAAACATTTATGTCAACAGTGTAAGACAGTTAGATACACAGTATCTAATTAGTAATTACTCGAGTAGTAATTTAATCTAGTATCAGAAAAAAAAATACCATTGAAAAATTTGTGAGTAGACTTTTGATCAGTTCATTGAAGTGCAGGGACTTCATGATTAAAACAGAAACTTCAAGTGATATGGTAAATTCACTCCCTTAACTGGTCATACCATTACAGCTTGAGGTTTGCAGTGTAACCTTGGTTAACAGCTGTTTTACAGAGGATCAGACATCCTGTCTCATTTCTTTAGAGCAGGTTCATTGTTTGCCTGGTTTATCCAGAAATAATCACTTATGTTTCAACTTCGTTTGTATTCTCTTTTGCCCTGGAATACTTCAGTGACCCAGGAAACTTAGCTTACTTAAGGATTTGGAGTTAAGTTGGATGCACAAGCTCTTATCTGTTGAATCCTACAAGGAGATGAATTCATGGTTTTGCAATAACAAAAATTTAGCCCTATTGCAACAAAATATGCATTGCCAAGATTTCACTCATTTCACTGTTCCAATCTGGGAGAAAAAACAATTTCAGAACCATTTAAATGTGAAAGCAACAGTTGTAGAGGAAGTCACCATTTCCCCCCAAAAAAAACCAACAAGGATTTGCCTGGTACTGGAACTGACATAGGAAAGATAGCAGCCTGAAACTTTTATATTTGGTATTAGTAAATACCTTATGTAACTTTCTTTAAAAAAAAAACGGGAAGGAAACATTTAGTGATATTGGCATTCACAGAATTTTAATAGACTTAACTATTCTTTCCATTTCTGCTGTTAATATTTAAAAAACATGACAAACATTTGAGCCTTCAGAGGCTTTTATGCTTTGTTTTCTCCATTCTGTTGGAAACTCCACTCAGTTGTGTATCTAGCTGTATACCTTGGATCCAAGCAACTTCACACTTTTCAATTCTTTAACTGCTTACAGAAACAAAACCAAGTTGGATGACAACACAAGCATCCCTCAAGAAAGGAATTCACAAGGTTTCAGGATGTCAAGCTCAGAGTGACAGCATATCACTGCTGTTTCCAATAATTTCACATCAGCAAGTACTTGCTATTAAATTCTTTAATACAGGAAAGAACATAGAAAGCATGCACACTTGCTATACTTATTACACTTGTCTAGATTCATAAAGGTGTCTTTTTTCAAGGTGCCTTGCCACTACTACTCAGTAAGAAACTGTCAAGTCAGTTTAGACCCAATTATGTTGTTATTCTTCACTATCCAAGTATTCTTGCACATCTTAGTCCAACAGCATCAGAAAAGGAAGAGCAAAATGGTGACATAAACAGTGTTCCTTTTCAAGGCTGAAGAGTATTTTGGCTATGTATGTTCAAATGAAATTACTTGTTCAAAGTGGTGCTGGCTGAGAATTTTCTCTCCCTTCAAGAGAAATGCGGGCATAGTCACTATTAGTCTGGAACCTGTTGGTTTTCTCTTGTCTTACTGATTTTTTTCTTTTTTTTTTTAATCTTGAAAAGCAAGTCACACTGACTTCTGTGCACAGCTCTTCTCTTGGGAGCGTGCCCTTTGCAGATGGAGATGGCATTCATATACATCCCAATTTAGGGCATTTGCTGCTTCACTCTGCAACTTAAGTGAGAAGGTGGTTCTAAAAAGCCATAACAGGGTGTGCTCACATGTGCTTTGTGGAGTATCTTTTCTCCCTGTGAGCCAGGAGTGACTTCTGGAAAGCAATAAACAGATCTACTGAACCGTTTCTGAGAGGAGAAACCCAACTCTAGCCTCAAAACCAGGATTACCTTTGGTGATCAGCTAACAGAACATGTGAACAGGGCAGCGCTAACCCCTCTGAGCCCACACCCTGCTGCTGGCCTGGGTATCCTTCCCGCTTCAGCCAGGGCCTGCCCTAATGCAGGAACCAAAACCAGCAGCTGCCCACTAGATGGAGAGCTAAGCACACATAACCAACGTAGAGACCTCAGCTCTTGTGGAAGACTACCAGCATGTTCCCAGTTTTATTTTGTGATTAAAATGTGCTCATCCATAACAATCACAGAAGAACAAATTAATCAGCTGCTGGACTTTTTAGATTTCTGAGCCTTTTCCTATACTCAAAGCATGTTACAAAGCTTGCTTCCCACACACATGGCTTAGGTTGTACTTCTGTACTTTAACTAATGGGTTACTTGGTACTAGAAGGTTTTCCCTCCACCAGAGGAAAAAATTACAAGAATAGGAATTAACTCAGAATAAGGGAGTAAACACTACCACTGGGCTTTGCAGACTGATTCAAAACAATCTATAGTATACTTCTAAGCATAGTGTGGGACTGAACTTGGGATTCATGAGGTCTTGGTGGTTTTACAATTTTTTTCAATAAAATACATTGAACTGCATTTATCTAGTAAAAAGGATTTATATGAAGAAACCTGAAAAAAATGTCAGTCAGTCATCTATTAGGGAGACAACACCCATGCAAATCCCTCTACATTTTTTTTAAACATGATGTTAAAAACCAATCTGGACAGCTAATCTAGTAGTAAGGTGCTCTGTGCTGCTTTACCAGGAAGTTTTTATTGCCTGAGTAACTAGGTGTATTCATGTCACACTTAAAAAAATTATTTTATTCAATGGAAAAATAAAAACATATATTCAAACAGCCTAGAGTTTTATTGCTGGCTCTTTTTGCTATTTCAGGTCTTCTTAAAAATCTCAAGACACCTAATATAAAATCCAAAATACATAAACTGAGAAACGAAGTTGAATATTTACCTAGAGCATGCTACTTTTATGTGCTGCGTGCTAATAAAACAACAATATTCATACTTCCCCCCCCATTCTAATAATCATTAGTCTAAATCAAATACCTGTAAATGAACTCTTCCTCTTATAACAAGACTGACAAAACAACCATTTAATACTATAAAAAAAAAAAGCCCCAAACCTCACACATGGTAACAACTACTTGAAAAACTGTAGCTTTATTCAAGTTTTATCATATGTTAAACTATAACAACATATCACTCACCTCTTTAAAACCTGTAAAATCATAACATGGCCTAAACATTCGCTTTTCAAACAACTTATTTGGGTCTTTCTCCAGCTGCTTTTAACTAATGTGCCCCTACTGTTAATCAGTGCCTTGGCTCTGGGCCAAATTAAGTTCATATAAGCTTGCAGTGTAGACTAGGTAGAGTTTTTCTTAGATTGGTTACTATATTGTTCTTTCTTCTGTTTTAGAAAGAGGATAATCAGGTATTTTTTGGAAGTACCTTTTTCATTATTTTCTTAGG